TAGCGTTTCCGACGCAGCTCGAGTTCCTGAAGAGGAACCAATTTTACACCGTGTCTACGGACGTGAGCGGCGGTGCAACAAATCCCCGACAGAAAACTGCTGCCGGGTTCTATTTATGAGGTGCTGACACAAATTTCAAATGGTTTTCAATGGTCGTTTGATCGCGTCCAGTGTAGTCAGACTTTAGCTGTTGTAGACACGGTGTTACTCACCTATTGAGAAGAAACAAAGCAACCTCGGCGTCCGATCGCAGGCCTTCCGCTCCTTGAGTTCTCTCCAGCGCTGGAAAGCTGATCTGATATTTACACGGGTCCTACTTCTTGTCTTAAGCCTTCTTTTGTTCCGCAGACGTTTCCTCTTTTGTTTTTTTATCTGCCATCTCTATCTTTCTGTCGCTCCGCTGCTAATGTCTGTCCTGTGCAGTGTGCACTGAACGCTCTCTCCTCCACATCATGAGTAGACACGCCCCTTACTGCTGATTGGCTACAAGTTTGTTTTGCTAGTCGGCCCGAATCAGTTTTCTAAAGTGTTTTTGAAAAATCGCTTACCCCACCTTTAAGAATGTAAAGATGAAGTTGTATTGGAAGTTGTATTGGTTATGTAGCCTAATGTTTCATAGAACGGCCACCATCTCAACACTCAGAAGGTACATACTCTGAACGTTTTTAGAGAAATTAAAACAGGTCGCACGACAACAATTATATGCACTCGCACAAATGCTCCCAAATATATTTTGAGATTAAATTTTGGGAGCATATGCGACCAAAATGGTCGCAATTTCGAGCCTTGCAACATGCGACATTCACAATGCATTTCACCTCAATAATGTGTAAAGTAAAACCAAATATTTAAATAAAAATATTGTAGGACTTGGATTTTGTAAGATTTTGAAAGTGGAGAGTGGATTAAATATTGTTTTACCCAAAGTTATTACATAATAATTTTTTATAATAATTAATTTTTATTCCATCAATGCTCAAATGGTGATTTTGTGCATTTTCAATTGTCATCAAAACCGTAGCTATCATTTACATCAAGAAATACTGTTATATTGACAACATTGGCTAAGCATTTTGATCTTATTTGTGAACAATGACACGAGAACTTTTTGTGATGGCATTGATGTTCATTGATAGAAATTTTGAGCAAGTTATAGGCTTTTTGCAGGTTGTAAGCCTTTTGCAATGGTGCTGTTTGTACGAGCTGTTTCAAGGACAAAACTAAAGCGAATGAGAAAAACTGCATTAGTTCAAGTAAAAAGAGCCACCTTCCAATTCTCCATGATAATCTGATCTCTAATCATGGCTCAGTTCCTTAGTTAAAATGTAGACCATTTTATCATCCACCATTCAAAAAAAATAAATAAATATCACAAGTTTGATCACTCAGAAGTGATATTACACCAAAGTACATGAGTATCAAAGCTGATAAAAATAATTTCTGTGCTACTGAGCGGAGGCGACCAGAGACTGGATACGGGTGTGAGGATACACATATGTCAGGTTGGGCTCCATGATGTCACTGGCCGTTAATCTAACAGAGAGATGAAGAGAAAATAGCATAAATAAATAAAAAGCAAGACAAATAAGTCACAACAGACAAAAACTGTGTATATAACCATCCGGTTGAGAAGAAATAAAGACAAAAAAAATACATATTTGGGCACTTAATGAATGAATATCATTGCATTAGATATCAAAACATCATACTTTTCTTAGAACTTGCATTAGATGACAAATAATGCTATGAAACAGACACCTGAAATTAAGTGTAGCTTAATATTTAAACACTTCTGGGCTACAAACTGTGGCAAGTGTAATAAAATGGTCTCACTTGTCCATCTCGACCTCTGTTTCCCACTCCAGCAGCGGGACTCCCTTCAGGTGAATATGAATATCATATATTCCCTTATTAAAGAAATCGCCTGTCCACTTGGCCACCTGACAGACACACAATGCCAGTTAGAAGTGCATGTTTCAAGTAAGTTGTACTTTTTAACTCATTAAATTCAAATTTTGCTATATGTGACCCTGGAGCACAAAAGCAGTCTTAAGTCGCTGGGGTATATTTGTAGCAATAGCCAAAAATACATTGTATGGGTCAAAATTATTGATTTTTCTTTTATGCCAAAAATCATCAGGATATTAAGTAAAGATCATGTTCCGTGAAGATATTTTGTAAATTTTCTACCGTAAATGTATCAAAACTTAGCTTAATTTTTGATTAGTAATATGCATTGAACTTCATTTGGACAACTTTAAAGATGATTTTCTCAATATTTAGATTTTTTATCATATCATAACAAACCATACATCATAAAGGCGATTTTCTCAATATTTTGATTTTTTTGCAACCTCAGATTTCAGTTTTTCAAATAGTTGTATCTCGACCAAATATTGTCCCATCCTAACAAACCATACATCAATGGAAAGCTTATTTATTCAGCTTTGAGATGGTGTATAAATCTCAATTTCAAAAAATTTACCCTTATGACTGGTTTTGTGGTCCAGGGTCACATATAACGTCATTTAGTGATTTTTGTATTCCTACCATCAGTGTTATCATAATGGGAAGTCCGTATGTGATCTCATTGGTCGATTCAATTAAGATGACTGTCAGGCTGATGGTCATTCTGACCACACCTCCTAGAAAGGCAGCTGCTCCAATCAAGGCAAAGGTCCCCGCATATACTTGCATGTGAAAGTTGCTGCAATTACACATATTAAAAAACAGCATTATAAGTGTGGGCTGAGAAATTATGATGCATAAGATATGATAAACGTATGTGTCCTGTTCGAACAGGTGCCCTTGGTAGTTCTTATGAGATAGTAAACAGGAATAAATCTTACATTTTGAGGACATTGGCCACTAGGCGCCCAAGTGAAGCTCCACAGAGAAGAGACGGGACAAACAGCCCACTGGGGACGGACACACCATATGTCCAACAGCTCAGAAAAAAATACAGCACAAAGAACAGCAAGAGCGTGACGGGACTGAAGGTAGCTGTCAACAAAACCAGACAAAGGAGGGAGAGAGAGAGAGAGACAGAAAAGGGTTGGAAAATAATGTTATGCGCTTCTCAGAAACTTCAACTCGATTTCTACAGAGCAAAACATCACAGAGGTTCAGGCATGCTGTTTAATCAAACTTTATTTTCAGGATTATGAAAACAAGATAAAGCGATTATTCCATTTTGTAATGAAGCTCTTGGTTTGTCTTGTGTTATAAATCCAGCACACCCTTTTCCTTTAAAGCAGTGTGATTTCAGCCCTTCATAAACGTTTAATAGTTTTCAGTAAGTTGTGGTAGTGCAGTGCAGTTGATCTTATTCATTTTGATCTCATTTAATTTAATGTATATATAGTTATATATTTTATTATTTTTTTTCCCCTCAATTTTTTATATTTTGTTTATTTTTACAGTTGAACTACACTGCCGTTCAAAAGTTTGGGATCAGTACGATTTTTAATGTTTTTTTTTAAAAGAAGTCTCTTATGCTCATCAAAAATGATTTCTAAAGGATCACGTGACACTGAAGACTGGAGAAAAAAATGCTGAAAATTAAGCATTGCATCCCAGGAATAAATTCCATTTTACAATATATTAAAATAGAAAACAGTTATTTTAAATTCCAATATTATGTTTTTTTTTCTGTATTATTAATCAAATAAATGCAGCCTTGATAAATGAGAATATGAGACTTCTTTAAAAAAAACATTCAAAACCTCACTGATCCCAAACTTTTGAACGGCAGTGTATATTTGAAGTTCAAAGAAAATCCAATGTTAAACAATTTAATAAATGCATGATGTTTCCAAACTCACTGATTAAAATAAATAACGTGATTATGACTTTTGGAACAATCAAGAGGCTCTAATACAGGTTGAGGTGGAGTAAATGACATCATTTTAATTTTTTGGGGGGGTAAAGTTTAAAGGTCCCATATTGTACACCTTTCTGGAGTCTGACGTCAACTTTTTACGGAAGTCACAACGGTTTGTGAAAAATCACAGCTACTTTAAGCAGGCTGTGTGAATTTTACTGTGGACTGACTGTTTTGAAACTTATATGGTAGTTACACAGCACCTAGACCTCAGTTACCATGAAAAAAGCCAGGAAATTTCAGTTTTGACAATATCGGACCTTTAAGGCTTGAAGCTAAATATTCTGAAATGCCTATGAAGAACCTGAACAAAAACTGATCACAAACAGTATATCGCTGCATGTAATTTTCTCACCATTCTGGTGGAAGAGCTGGTGGATTGCCACCTCTTGAGGGTTGAAGAACAGGGTTGCCATGTCATTATACGTGTTGTTGTAGCAGAAGAAGCGTCGTATGGTTGAGTTCACCTCCTCATTTACAGACCCCTACAAAACAAACCATTACTGCACTTACAAACTGTCTGATGCATACTGCACACAAAAAAGCTCAGCCTTCTCAAACTGGCAAGTTGTAACTTTATAATAATTAGCTGCAATGTGAACCAGGCTGTATATCTTGTGTATATATATCTTTTGCCGATATTATCGGCCGATATGAGCCTGTCGCCGATATATCGGTATCGGCGAATATGCCGCCGATATGAACATTTTTTTTAATAAATCGATTGTACGTCTAGAGGCCCGCTTTCGAATGAGAACACCGCTGCGTCGATAGCCCCCGGGGTTCGGGAGTTACGGGTGGTTAAATTTGCGGTCCGGCGCCGACCGATAAAGTTGAATGGAATTGAATTGAATTAAAGTTGAATAAACTTCAACTTTACTGTTCAGTGCACTGATGTCAGACTCATTTTGGAGAATAAAGTTTATTGTTACATTGTTAAATGCCCTGCCTCCATTACATATCTCTGTCACGTCATTATAAGTGTTTGATCACCACATTTGAGTGATCATTGCAAAAAATGTGTTTATGTATATATATTGTTTATGTATATACTGTATTCTATATATAGTACCAGTCAAATGTTTGGACACACGAATGGTAAAGTGTCCAAACTTTTGACTGGTACTGTACTATAATATACACAAAGAATATCGGCCGATATATCGATATCTAGCCTTTTTTTGCTCCCTAATATCGGTATCGGCCCCAAAAAACACGTATCGGTCGGGCTCTGATATAGATATATATATATATATATATATATATATATATATATACACACACACACTTATATACCAGCAGCTGAATAGCTTGTTGCCATTTCAGCTCAGCAAGTTATAATTACTTACAGTGATGTCCTCATCTGTACTTAATGTACTTAAGGTTTGTGAAACTTAAATCAGCATCACTGCTGTCTGATTGTTTATGTCAGGTTTACCCACCCGAAAGTGACATGTAAAAGAAACAAACTGCGATTGGTCATTGTATGTCAGTCAAATGGTCTCTTCCTATACAAGTGAGCTGTTCTTGGCCATACTGAGGTACAAAGTGGACCAGAAATGCATCTGTAGTCTCCATAGTCAAACTCCAGACTATCAGCATCATGATTTAAAAAAGCTAAGCAAAAGAGAGAAACTTTAGCATTAGAAGAGAGAATGAAAGAACGAATGAAGTTAAAGGAGAGAAAGGAAGCTGGTCTCAGACTGACCTGTGTTGATGTGTTGTTATTGGTGGAGACTAAATCTCGACACTCCCCTAGAGTCACTGACGCCACGAAGATCACGAGTGTGGTCACCATACACACCAGCAGACTCTCCAGCACCCTGCCAGTCAAACAAATACAGCGTCAGACTTATCTGACCACTGAAATTCTCCAGTTGTTTTGAGTAGCTTTATTCAACATTAAATCCATATAATTGAGATCTCTCTCGGGTACCTGATGAATCTTGCTTTGGGGTGAACGTTTCTCATGCGGTATTTTGCAAGGCGTTTGTTGATGCAGTTGAACAGAGCGCCGAGCAAACCTCCTGCCACCCCCATCAACACAAAAAACGCCAAATCTACTGCCGTCCACAAATGACACATCTTATCTCCATCTACACACTGCAGATAACAAAGAAAAACTGGTAAATTAACACCACACACCTGATTGATCTGTATTTCCAATTCCATTACTTATAAGTCAACACAAAATCACATACGCAAGTGATCGAATGCGAAGGCTGAAGCTCAAGATCACGTTCATTTATCTCAATAGCTTTCATTAACTGTTATTATTGCTGTAACATGTATCACATTAATTTACTTTAAATTCCTGCTTTAAATTTTTTTTAAAAGGTTGCATTAACTACAAAAGCAGGCTAAAACAATGATGATTAAATAACATTCTGGCATTGGTTAACTTTTTTATTTTTTATTATTTCTGCCCAAGCGGCCTAGTTGACGTCAGATAAAAAAAAAAAGAAAATTGCTTCAAGTATTTTATTAAATTTTTGATTAATGATTAAGATTTTTATTATTATTATTATTATTATTATTATTTAGAATACCATGAATTGATAATGAATCATTCACAATAAAAAGTAATAAATACAGCATTTAAATATTTACATGTAGAAGATGACATGACGGGATTTGGGTTGGTCATGTTACTTCTATATGATCACCTAATTTACATATCAACACAATAGGGGTGTAACGGTACACAGAAATCACGGTTCGGTACGTACCTCGGTTTTTGGGTCACGGTTCGGTACGAGTTCGGTACAACAGGAAATTTATTTTTTCATTTATTTTGAGCAGACAGTAGAGCTACATACATGTAAGCATGAGCAGTTGTTCTTGATTTGAATTAAGATTGTATAATTTCAAGATTTAAAGCAAGAACAGAATGGTCTAACTTTAGATCTGTGAAATGATGCTACATAAGACACCTGTAAAAAAACAAAAACAGCAGATGGACTGAATGAAAATGCATATTTATTCTCTGACAGCAGGTGGCGCTATATTACACTACTTAGTTTAAAGGGGACCTATTATGCCCCTTTTTACAAGATGTAAAATAAGTCTCTGATGTCCCCAGTGCGTGTATGTGAAGTTTTAGCTCAAAATACCCCACAGATAATTTTTTATACCTTGTTGAAATTGCCACTTTTAGGGTATGAGCCAAAACGTGCCGTTTTTGTGTTTGTCCTTCTGGAATGACTGCCTATGACTGACTGTATTCGCCGTCTGACTGCATGAACCGTGACGGTTCGGGACGAATACGTGTTCCGTTACACCCCGACAACACAATGTGAATGCATATAATTAAGGGGCTTTAATGCTTTTTTCTGTAGCTTTTTTACCTTAAACTCTCCAAAGTTGAGCAGGCCAGGCAGCTGGAATGATCCCCATTTATTGAAGTTGATCCCAGAACGAAAGAAGTTGAGTGTAAAAGTGGCAGACATGGAGCAGAACAACTTTAAGACAGAAGAGAGACAGAGAGAGAATTATAAACTGAACTTTCTCAGCACACACCAAAATACATGACCAAACTGTATATCCACATACCACTTTCCATGTGAGGGCCTGGTTCCAGAAGGACGACCCCTCCTCCAGACTGAAGAGGGTGCCCCCTATAGGTGCCCCAAAGGCAGCCGCAACTCCAGCCGCTGCACCCGCCGACACGAAATCCCTCTTGTCCCTGAACATAAATCAAAACTGACCCTTTTAACTTGATTAATACATATTCCTGGTATCACTGCAGATGTTTTCATATATTTAAAAAAATATTTTTCATAAAATTATTACTTAATTATAATAAGTAGAATAATATACAACAATTCTCTAAAGAAAAATGTTTCTCTTCATAAAATTTTATTAAAATGTAACATCTTGACCTGACTTCACCTAAGTTACATGTGCTACTGGATCACACATAACTAATCTGTTTAAACATTTGGATTTTCCATTTTTGGTCCAATCAATTACAAATGGATAAAATATTTATCCTGCATTTTTTTCCCTTTTTTTGTCCATAAGGGAATAGATCACAATACAGAAGTAAAATGGGTTTGAATTAGGGGCGGGCGATATGACCAAAATCTTATTTCACGGTATGATCAATTTTATTTCACGATAACAATATAGCTATTTTTATTTTATTTTACTTTTTGTTATTAAAATGAGACGAAAAAGCAAATTACAAACACAATAGAACAAATAAATATGAAATAAACTTTTAATTATTCAGCTACAGTAGGCTAGGTTTATTTACCGTGTAGTAAGAAATATTACAGAAATTGAATAAAGTGTATAAATAAAACACTGCATAGTGTTTTCACTGTATCAATCAAACATGAACTGATTATTATTAAAAATCCAGTGATTCAGTCAAGTGCAGTGAGTGATTGACATTAACATTAATAATGACAGACAGCAGCAGGTAAAAAAGGCTGCTGTCCCTTTAAGACCGACTGCAAGGATCCAATATACTGACACCAAACAGTTTACGTTTATTTAACACATAACTGACTGTATTTACGCGAATTTGACCATTCAAGCACAATACAACATGAAAGAGATCTGTTTTCGCGATCGCATGCTGTCGAGTGAGGAGCTTTCATACCGCGGAATACACGATATAGCAAAATCTCTAACGATTCACACTTTATTCCGCGGTAATGATATATATACCGTCATACCGCCCAGTAGGGCTGTGCGATTAATCGAAATCGAATCGAAATCGCGATTTGAGACGTTGCGATTTCCTAATCGCAAAGCCTGCGATATTACTCTGTTCCAGAGCATATGCATGACTGCCAGCCTTGAGTTGGTAACCAATAGAGTGAGCGCACCTCCGGTTTAATGGAAACTATAAGATTTTCTGTGATGGTTTCTATTGTTTTTTTCAGCAGGGTAATGATACCCATACTGTGCTGCACATTATTGGCAATATTGAGCTGAAGCTTGACTTTGCAAATTTAAAATCGCAAATCAAATCGCAATCGCAATATCTGTCAAAAAAAATCGCAATTTGATATTTTCCCCCAAATCGCACAGCCCTACCGGCCAGCCCTAGTTTGAATGTCACTAATGTTTCACATTCATTTTGTGCAATGTAATGAATGATTTAGTGGTTGCTGTGATGTAGTGCTCACCTGTCACTGCGGAAATAGGGAAAGTGAAAGCGGATCTTCTTGAAGGTGATGCTCTGAAACTACTCAGACAGACAAGCATGCGTTCATTAGACCTTAAGTACACTGTAAAAAAAAATTCCGTAAAAATTTACGGTAAAAAAAAAAACGGCAGTTGTGGTTGCCAGAATTTTACTGAAAAAAAATACGGTAGCAGCGTTTAAGGTTTTACGGTTTTAACTTAAATTTACAGTTAATTACCGTAATTTCATTAACTGATATAATGTTAATATACCAACCCACTGAAGTACTGATATCTCCGTTTTGTACCTTTGTAAACTGCACCAAAAGCAGGTGGTGATGGGAAAATCACATGATGAACCAAAGCCTATCACAAGCAGCTTTTAAATATTAACATATATAGAAGGTGCACAGTGTCATTCACACAAACACTAAACACCATCATGGTAACATACATGAATCAGAAATAATGCAATAAACATTAATTGAACAACATTAGATGTAACATACAACCCTAATGTACACAACTGATAAGAAAAAACTAAGAAGAAACAGTTATTTCAACAACAAAAAAAACATCAAATTTGAAATGTAACGCAGGGAATTCTGGCAATTTACGGTTATTCACTGTAAATGATACAATCTTTTTCCACTTCCGAAAACAGTATACTACCGTAAAATTACATGTAATGTCCTATACAGTTTTTCACCGTATATAGAAGGGGAACTTACCATTAACCATTTAACAGGTTTTTACTGTGGCATTTTTACAGTCTATTGCCGTTAATTTCACAGTCATTTTTTTACGGTGTATGACTGTGACAAGAAAGATGATGCATAAACAAAACACCTGGTTACATTCAGAACACAAAATCATCAACCATCAGAAGTACTGACAACTTAAACAATTTTAAATAGCAGAACTGTTAAAGATTAGTCAAATCAGTACTTTGTTTATTACTCAGTTCAAGTTGAACACATGAGCATATGGAGGAGTACCTGAGGAAGCCCTGCTCCTAGTATCGCTCCACTGTGAATCATTGGTCCCTCTTTACCCACAAACAATCCTGAAACAAAAACAACACTGAATCAGCCCATAACAACTTCTAAAAGGCATTTCACTGTAATCTGGTTGCATGTAATTAATTGACATGTTACCAGAATAAGGCCAGTTTACACACGTTACGGAATCAAAAAGTGGCCATCACCATTAATATTCTAATACAGCACAGAGCCAGAGTGTATTCTAATCTTTGTCTGTGCTGATATAGACTGTTTCCCTCATCATTACCTCCAGCAACAGCGAACAGGACTCCTGTGACCTTACATATGAAGGTCCGCAGCCGCACAATGCCTGGAATCTTTACTCCGTTCAGGTAACTTTTAATTTCTGGGATACCAGACCCAGCTGCAACAGGCTATTACACAGAAGAAACAGACTGATTATATACTCTCCCCACACAAAAACATCATTATTATTAAAATATAAAATTGCATGAAAGAGACTTAACTTACACTGATTTAATATTCTTATAGTATTAAATACAGTGTAATTTAACTACAAATTAAAATAACTGCTTTCTATTTTAAAATATTTAATTTATTCCTGTGGTGGCAAAGCTGAATTTTCAGCAGCTATTCTGAGCATAGGAGACTTCTTAAAAATAAAGTCTTAATTATTCCACACTAAAGTCAGCCCTTCTTGATTCAAATTATGTCTCGTCTTGGAATGATATTCAATATATAGCAATAGAAAAAAAGTTTCAGTTTAATTTAAGTTTATTGCCACATCAGCTTCACAGGCTATTTCATGGCAAAGATTATACATTAGAAATATAGTAGAACACAATACAAATAAATAAACAAATAAATTAATAAAAACAATTATAAAACAAAGTATTACACATACATTTCTATAAAATACACTTTAAATTTACTTTTAGCAATAGAAAAAAAATCTAGCAGTCTAATAAATCTGGCAATGTGTATTACAATGAATGTTGGCTCTTTGATGATTTGCTTTGTTCCTATTTTGTAAGTCGCTTAAGATAAAAGCTTCTGCTAAATGCAGTAATGTAAATGTAAATCAGTGAAATACTCAAAATCAATGAGCGTTTTTTCTGGAGTTTAATGTAAGGTGCTAGCCTCTGGTGTGCCGTGTAATGACTTTTAAAGGGGTCATATGATGCTTTTTTAAAGATCATTATTTTGTGTATTTGGTGTAACAGAATATGTTGACATGCTTTAATGTTCAAAAAACACATTATTTTTCAAATACTGTACATTATTGTAGGTTCTCTATGCCCCACCTCTCTCAAACGCTTCGTTTTCTACAAAGCCCCCTCCTT